TCTGTTAAGATTAATTAGCGTCACGCGCCCAAAGCAGTCAATCGTGTCCCTTGTTTGCGTGGCGGTATCTTTGGTCGGAATACATGGGAGCCGAGGACCTCTTAGCGCATGCACATTTTGGCGAATCGTTAAGGCAGGCATGGGTGCCAGCACTTGGTTTTTAACTCAGGCTTATACAACAGTCATAACCGTGCTCTAATGACTGTGCATGGTACATGTAGATTTCCCTACACTGATATTGTTGTGTATAATACATCTTAAATTTTATGCACGCGTCGTGATGTGATGTCATGTATAGTTAATTTAAAAATGGTATGCCGTGACGTTATGTAGTGTGTGGTACATTTTTAATGTAGTAACTGCAGGATAACTCCTCTTATCTGCCGCGGTGGTATGGGGGACCAACATCAAGGATCCGAATATCTGCGGCGTCATCAGCGGTTTTTCTCGTCTTATCCACGGATAACTGGCGAATAGCATGCATTTTTCCGCGCAACTTTTCCCGTCCGCGAAGAAATCGCAGATAATAGCAATAAAAACATCATAATGTCCGTAGTCCGTGAACAACCCCGCAGGTAATAAGGATGGATTTGCTGCACAACTTCCCTTATCTGCAAAATCGGAGTTTTTAAATCGCACCCGGGGGGGTAGCGGGAGCACACCGTGTTCGCTCTAGTGCATCAAGAGACGTGTTTGTCTCTACTATTTACATTACATATCTGTGTGAGCAATAGTCAATGATACAGAAACACACACACACAGATACAAAGGCAATGATACTCCGAATAGCCTCAACATACTGTTGGGGCAAGTGCTGTTAGCGAGCACCGATGAAGGCGGGCACAGTACACGAAGGGGTGGGTGGCCAGCACCATACCCGACCGCCTTTGTATCTCTTGTGGTGATGTTTACACACCGCATCAGGAAGTAATTTTAGGCTGAGTCGACCTAGGGGAGGCCTCGGGATCGGTTCAGATAATCGTCACTGGCACGGAGAAACGCACACGGATAGACACGAAGACAGAAACACAACACACGTGTAGACACACAAAGGTGTAGCAGGTGTACACACAAAGGTGCAGCAGGTGTACACACAAAGGTGTAGCAGGTGTACACACAAAGGTGCAGCAGGTGTACACACAAAGGTGTAGCAGGTGTACACACAAAGGTGTAGCAGGTGTACACACAAAGGTGTAGCAGGTGTACACACAAAGGTGTAGCAGGTGTACACACAAAGGTGCAGCAGGTGTACACACAAAGGTGTAGCGGGTGTACACACAAAGGTGTAGCAGGTGTACACACAAAGGTGTAGCAGGTGTACACACAAAGGTGTAGCAGGTGTACACACAAAGGTGTAGCAGGTGTACACACAAAGGTGCAGCAGGAGTATTAGAAAGCCACGGCTTCACTGTGCATTATGGGTAAACTCACGGATAACCACGAATAATAGGAAGAAATAGAACAGCGGATAACATCACCTTTCGGGGACCCTACAGCTGCCATGTTATGTAATTATCGTGCTTTTTTTTACTCAATTCAGTGATTATATAGTGTATAATACATTTTATATGGGATACAGTTTTGAAATTGTATACACGAGAAAGCTACTTCTTTGAAGTAGCTTTTAAGTGTAGCAGCTACCTTTTTGAGGAGTATCTTATTGCTTGAGCTTGCTACTTTTTCAAATAAGCTTCGCCACCACTGCAAGCGTGTGTATGCACGCAGAAGCCTAGCCAGTCATCTCAGTCATATATAGCCTGAGTATAGTTGGAAGTGTACATAAGCATATTCATACGTGCGCACATATTTCTTGAAACGTATTACAAGTATATATGTAAAGGCAAAACGTTAAGGCCTGCTTGTGTGGGAAGATTGACAAAAATTTAAACGAATATTTTTTTTTTACAAAATCTACGTAAAGATAACATCATGGGACCGTAGTAACATAACTTTCAAAACAAAATAAGAAGGAAAATTATTTGCAAAAAAGACTACGTTACGGGAATGTTATGCGCCCAACACACATTTAGAACCTGATTTGTTTACTCACTCATTTATCAACAGAATCTTTCCCAATTTGGGGCTAATCTGTTTAGAGGCGGGAATTCCCCATTCCCATGGCATGAACTTGTCAACCATACAAAGCGATACACCTACAGACTGGTACTCACATTATTGACCCGGGCCAGGATTTGAACTCCCAACCTCGCAAACGCGAGGCATACGACGCTCTAACCATTGGAATAATGACATCGATTCCTACATGACATACACACACAGGCTCATACATACTACGCGCACACACAGGAACTCTGTAAGCGTAAATAAACTATCATGTAGCGGGCGTTGCCTGCAGTCTGTCGGCTTTAGAGTCGCACCCCACAGAAGGTGAATTAGAAGGTTCGCTGATGTTTGAAGCCAATTCTATATATATTTTAGTGATTCACATATTGAGATGTAAAGGAATTAGGAACCTAAGGCTGACCAATAAACGTGTGGATTTAGTCATTTTTGACGTCCCAAATTACAACAAACATGTTTGATTGATTGTTCTAGTTACAGGCATAGAATTGACTATAACGGTGCCAATTGCTATCTGCCTAGCACTTGAGGAACAGCATGTGTACAAGTTACATCAGTTACAGTCGTCTCTATTAAATGAGGTATGCAAGGTAATATAGCAGCCATTCACAGTACAAATACTCTAGTCAATTGAAACATACAGTACTGTATATATAGGCGCTTAAATTCACAAAAAAACATCTTAAAGGAAACAAGAACACTTACAGCTCACTTGGGCTCATAGCAAATCGTAATCTGTTACCCAGCTTGTGTCTGTAATGCGTTGAGGTGTGTGAAGGTATCCCGCACGTTTGTATGTGAAGTCTCTTCGTGTCTCACCAAGCACACGTGCGCACGTGTGTGTCTGTGCGTCTGTGTATGCGGGTGTGTTAACATTGTGGGGAGCGGATATGTAGCGGTTAACGCGCTGCGCTACGATCCTGGCGACCCGGGTTCGATTCCCGCTCACGGCAAACACCAGTGACGATTATCTGAACCGGTCCTGTGCCTCCTCTAGGTCGACTCAGCCTCAACTGAGTACCTGGTGCGATGTGTAAACATCGCCACTAGGGAGACAAAGGCGGCCGGGCGGAGTGTTGGCCACCCACCCCCTCGTGTGCCGTGTCGGCCTTTATAGGTGCTCACTAACAGCACTTACTCCTATAGTATGCTAAGGCTATACGGGGGATATTTGTCTTTGTTAACATCCAAGCACTGGCTGACAAGGCACACCACCAGGCAACAATTATGCGAATCGACTCATTTATTCATCCAGGAAAGTTTCGGTGAGTCTTAAGACTCTTGTTCAGAGAGGTCCTACTCGTTGGCTCGTGTTTGCTTGTGGGAGGGAGTACACGGTCCAAACCCCGCCGTCCATACAAGAGGGGAACATTCGAAGGGGCTCACGAACCCTCTTGCTGTGCAAAATGGGTTTACGCGTTTCAATTAATCTCTGCATGAATCACTCCACATTGCCTCCGGATCTCAGGCGGTCACGACCACACCCAGCAATTGGTATCTGAACCAAACTTGGGCTTCCCCCTGGGTTGACTCAAGCTGAAACGAGTGTGGTCTTCCCGGTGCCGTGGTAGTGGAGTTAAGACGACCAACCACATGGCCACACGATTGGTCTTAACGGAGTGCTGACGAACAAGCATCTACCTCAACAGTTTAAAGAATAAGATCTTTGTCTCGGCGCGCAACGCGTGTGTGCGTGCGTTTGTGTGCACGTGTCTGTGCCCGACTCTCAATTAGAATTTAAATCTCGGTCAGTTGATGCATCGCTGATAACGTTCGTGAAGCTTTGTGACAGGTCAACTGTGTGCTTGTCGATGGAGAGAACGGCCCTACCAGGGAAATGTGTACATTTGACAACTGACTCGGTGATGGAAAATATCCGCGAAGACGCCTACAACGCATTTTTGAGCGGTTCATTTCGTTTCAGTTTGTCATCGGTCTGGGGCTGTTTTATGTCCACTCAGCCCATTGTGAGCAACAGCGCTGGTGAGACAAAGGCGGGAGGGCATTGTATTGGCCACACCACCCACACCTGTGCCGTGCCCAACCTGGATGGGTGCTCTCTAACTGCACTGGCCCCTACGATCTACAGGGCTGAACGAGGAATATTTGCCTTTGTGTAATGCATGCAATTCTTGTAAATAAAAATACATCACTGTGATACAAACTCTGAATGGGGGGAAAACCACTACGTATTTGGGTGCTCCGATAAGAATGTCCTGCTTTACTAAAACTGTTCACACAATGGATTGATAGGGCATTGCCTTGATTTACTCACAATAACCAATACGTGCATTCGACTCGTATGGGGCCTTTATGAAGGAAAAATTGCCCAACGTGCATATTTGTCTATGGTTTTTTTTAGCATTAACTGTAAATGAAGATATTCATATGCACTGTGTAGACATGCACACATGCATATATACATGAACCAACTTAATATTTGTCCATGCCTGTCTTGAAAAAACATACTTTTGGTCCCAATGGGCTCTGCCCACGAGTCGTTCTGAGGCCAACAGATTAAATACTTTGGTTTAGTGAGGATCTAACAATATTGTAAAACAGACACACTTCAGTCTGATACTTTTAATATAAACGTTGTGAATAGTAGCTTGTACATTTCTGGCTTTACATGTGCGTAAAGCACTTTCATGGAGAATGGACACATTGTGATCCACTAAAAAAATGTTGAAAGTGTGAGCACATATACACACGCATATGCATGTATATATATAACACACAAAGGTATCTTTGTCATATCTCGAAATTAAACACAACACATACTAAATACACTAATTTCTACCTGATGGAATGCGCGTGCAATATTATGAGACAGGTGTGTGTGTGTGGTAGTAATCTATGTGGTAGCAATCCCACACATGTCACAAGGTGTGTGGTCAATGAATTGCACAGGTACTCACGAATATTCTCGTCTTTTGGCCTTGGTCCACTACAGTTCGAATCCCAGCTGGGTGGTGAGTTGAGCGAACTGCGGCTGAACCGAAGCGAGAGCGTGGCAGCAGAAGCAGCAGCAGCAGCAGCGGCGGCAGCGGCGTCTGTTGGTTGGTTGGTGGTGGTGGCGACGAGCTTGGAAGCGCAGCTCCCTCCTGGACGGCTATGGTGCCTGAAGACACCGCGAGTCTGTTGCGCTCCCTCTGAGCCACGCGTGTGCGTGCAGGGGTGGGTGGAGGGCGTCATGATTGGGTGTGCGGGCGGTAGGGGGGGGGGGTAGGGAAAGGGGGGTCGCGTCTGGGGGGAGGTGTAGGTATATGGATGGGCGTTTGGGGATGAGATGCGCGTATTATGTGCGCGCATTTGCATGGGCGCTGGTGGTTTAGCGCACTGCGCTATGATCCCAGTGACCCGGACTGGAATACTGGTCGCCTTCCATTCACAGCAGTGGTAAAATGAAATATGACACTGGACTTGTTTTTCCCTAAGGTTGACTCAGCCTGAAATGAGTTATTGTACGGTGAGATCAGACGCTACTTTCATGGTAAACCTCACTATCTAAAAACTTGGAGAAGGCGTGGACCCACCTCTCCGTCGTTTGCCATTCGTGGTGACCTTAACAGGTTCTCGGCAAACAACACGAGTCCCAGTGGTCGGTCGGAATAAAAGGGAGAGATCTCTGTCTTGTGGATGTGCATCCGTGCAGGGATGGCATGTGGTGCTCCCACTGCTTCTGTGCATTCCCAACAGCACGGTGATCGATTCTAGGCCCTGAACTATCAGGAGGACACTAAAGCAGCCCGTGTAACCAGTTCAGTTTATTTTGAAGTACCCTGTGAGCTGTGAAGCTCTTGAATCGGGTTTCGTCAACACAAAAGCATCGGTTCCCTGGCAAACATAACGTACATAACGGGTCGCAAGAACAATAGGAATAAAAATAAATACGCAGTGAAGAAAAATGGCAACAAATCACACCATGTAGAGTATATTAGCGAGTTTTATTTTAAACATTTAGTTAAAGTAAGCATTATGATAAAATGACATTGGGATTAAAGAACCAGTCTTGCCCACAAGTACGCCCACTGAGCCAGTATCTGGTGTTTCGATTTAACTGTATTAAGGAGTGATCGATGCTGGCCCATTCTCCTCTTCACGTACCGTTTCAGTAATATTGATACATGCTCGCTCACAGTATTTGTCCAGCTAAGCAGGCTGCAATGGATAGTGATGCATTTGGAGTTTAATTATATTTATTGTATGTTTATGCTTGTAACCAGGTCTCTGTGGTGCAGTGTGTAATAAGCTAGTAGCTTGAACAATGCACTTGTGTTTTCACACACATGTCCCAAACAAATTGGTACGAGTACATTTTCAGTTAAACAATGTTACGCCCACATTTGTAGCTGTTTGACCTCGTGGTTTAGACAAGGCTGAGAGCATTGTACAGGATGTCATTGACTTACGAACACCCGACTTACGAACACCCGACTTACGAATATCTGCACTTACGAACGATCTTCCATGAGACATATATTTTTTTTAACATCAACTTGCGAACGTGAACTCGCACTTACGAACTGAACAATGGAACAATTTTGTTCGGCGGAGCTATCGTCCACGAGATGTAATGAGTCAGCCTCCCACTTGGAGTGTTTGTGTGTGTGTGTGTGTGAGAGTGTGTGTGAAAGTGAGTGTGCTTATGTGTGAAAGTGAGTGCGCATGTGTGTACGTGCACACGCGTGCCCCCCCCCCCCGCCACCCCCGTATGTGTGTGGGGGGAAGGTAATGCAATGGTAAGCGTGCTACGCTACCAACCTAGCCACCCAATTCCCACTCGAGTGACGATTATCTGAATGAGTTTTGGGCATCTCCGAGGTCGACACAGCCTCAAATGAGTGCCTCGTGCAGTGGTGTGTAAACATCGCCACTGGGGAGACAAAGGCGGCCGGGCGTGGTGCTGGCCACGCACCCCCTCGTGTGCCGTGGCGGACTCAATAGGTACTCGCTAACAGCACTTGCCCCAACAGTCTGTTAAGGCTATATACGGGGGATTTTTTGTCTGTGTGTGTGAGTACCGCCGTGTGTGTGTCTGAGTACCCCTGTGTGTGTGTGAGTACTCCTGTGTGTGTGTACCCCCGTGTGTGTGTGTGAGTACCCCTATATGTGTGTGTGAGTACCCCAATGTGTGTGTCCAGTGGTCCAGACAACAGTCAGACAACAGTCTGGACCACTGGGCATCTCACTCCTCAGTGTGCCGGGAAAGGTCCTGGCAAGGATTATTCAACATCGCCTTGCCAGGCACGCTGAGGAAAGGCTTGCGGAGCCCCAATGCGGTTTCAGGAAGGGGCGGTCCTGTACAGATGCCATATTTTTTGTCCGTCTGCTACAGCAGAGTTGTAGGGAATTCCAACAAGACCTACATCTCTGCTTTATTGACCTGGTCAAGGCCTATGATACTATCAGTATGCCTGGGCTCTGGGTTGTTCTTCGTGCTTTTGGAGTCCCTGACCCTCTGCTCACGATCATTAAAGACCTTCATGATGGTGAGCGGGCCCGGGTAAAACTACGTGGCCGGGAGTCAGAGCCATTCCCTGTACACCTTGGGGTGCGACAGGGATGTCCTCTGGCTCCCATATTATTTAACATCTATTTTGACCACGTAGTTCGTAAAGCCTTCAATAGCTGTACCGGGGGAATCTCCATTTGGTACAGATATAATGGGAGGCTGATCAATGCCCGGGTGCGGTCAAGGGATGGCTCCCTATTGCTCAACCACGTTATGTATGCCGATGATTTGGTAATAGCTGCTCATTCAGAGAAGGAGTTGGAGACGCTGCTGCTGAGACTGGAGCGTGCCACTAAGAGATAGGGCCTTACCATCAGCCCCACCAAAACTAAGCACCTGCCTGGGTATTTTGTACCATCGGACACTCCACCCCCACAACTCCCAATCAGTGATGGGGCAGTTGTGGAGAGAGTGGAGAGTTTCCCATACCTGGGCAGTGTGCTTATGACCGGCTCCAGTTTAACAGCAGAGGTCTCACTCCGAATCAGTCGAGCGGCAATATCTTTTCATCAGTTGCGTAACGCTGTGTGGAAGCTACCTGGTCTGTCGCTCCGCACTAAGCTTCAGGTCTTCTCGGCCACGGTCAATCCCTCCCTTCTCTACGCTTGTGAAACGTGGACCCCCTAATGGAACATCTTCGCCGGTTAGAAATATTTAGGCTGGCCTGCCTACGATCCATCCTGGGTTTAACCAGACTGGATTGTGTGAGGAGCTCACAAATCCTTGAAAGATCTGGGCAAGGTCCCATCGGTGAGCTCCTCCGGCGGGCAAGGCTGCATTGGCTGGGTCATGTAGCCCGCATGCCCAGCCACCGCATGCCGAAACAGCTATTGTTCGGCCGGGGCTGAACGGGCGCGGCACGGGTTAGAGAAGAGATGGAGTGATGTGGTACAGGAGGACGTGGAGATGAGTGGATTTTCCGATGACTGGTACCAGCGGTGTCAAGATCGGCCTCTGTGGAGGAGGCTCGTGAAGGACGCTATTGGGCAGTTGGAGGCAGTCGCCCTCCAACAACAACGGAGGGCGGAGGAGCAATGCTCACAACAACGAGCGGAGCCTCGGGTGGCTAAAGCACAGCAGGTTGGCACAGTAGGGGGCACAGGTGGTGCACCAGCCAGTCATCTCAGTCAGTCGACCCGTGGCACCTGGGTCTGCCCCGCGACCTCCTGCCAGCGGGCGTTCGACACTTCACGTGGCCTCAAAGTGCACATGGCCTGGCACAAGCGTCGTGGTGACGTCACCGCCACTTAGTGGCAAATGGCGGTTGTTGTTGTGTGTGTGTACCCCGTGTGTGTGAGTACCCCCATGTGTGTGTGTGTGTGAGTACCCCGTGTGTGTGTGTGAGTACCCCGTGTGTGTGTGTGAGTACCCCTGTGTGTGTGTGAGTACCCCGTGTGTGTGTGTGAGTACCCAAAGTGTGTGTGTGTGTGAGTACCCAAAGTGTGTGTGTGTGTGAGTACCCCTGTGTGTGTGTGAGTACCCCGTGTGTGTGTGTGTGTGTGAGTACCCCGTGTGTGTGTGTGAGTACCCAAAGTGTGTGTGTGTGAGTACCCAAAGTGTGTGTGTGTGAGTACCCCTGTGTGTGTGTGAGTACCCCGTGTGTGTGTGTGTGAGTACCCCGTGTGTGTGTGAGTACCCCGTGTGTGTGTGTGTGAGTACCCCGTGTGTGTGTGAGTACCCCGTGTGTGTGTGTGAGTACCCAAAGTGTGTGTGTGTGTGTGAGTACCCCGTGTGTGTGTGTGAGTACCCAAAGTGTGTGTGTGTGTGTGAGTAACCCGTGTGTGTGTGTGTGAGTACCCCGTGTGTGTGTGTGTGAGTACCCAAAGTGTGTGTGTGTGTGAATACCCAAAGTGTGTGTGTGTGTGAGTACCCCGTGTGTGTGTGAGTACCCCGTGTGTGTGTGTGAGTACCCAAAGTGTGTGTGTGAGTACCCCGTGTGTGTGTGTGAGAGTACCCAAAGTGTGTGTGTGAGTACCCAAAGTGTGTGTGTGAGTACCCAAAGTGTGTGTGTGTGTGAGTACCCAAAGTGTGTGTGTGTGAGTACCCCGTGTGTGTGTGAGTACCCAAAGTGTGTGTGTGTGTGTGAGTACCCAAAGTGTGTGTGTGAGTACCCCGTGTGTGTGTGTGTGAGTACCCAAAGTGTGTGTGTGAGTACCCCGTGTGTGTGTGTGTGAGTACCCAAAGTGTGTGTGTGTTTGTGAGTACCCCGTGTGTGTGTGTGAGTACCCAAAGTGTGTGTGTGAGTACCCCGTGTGTGTGTGAGTACCCCGTGTGTGTGTGTGAGTACCCAAAGTGTGTGTGTGTGAGTACCCCGTGTGTGTGTGTGTGAGTACCTAAAGTGTGTGTGTGTGTGAGTACCCAAAGTGTGTGTGTGTGAGTACCCCGTGTGTGTGTGAGTACCTAAAGTGTGTGTGTGTGTGTGAGTACCCAAAGTGTGTGTGTGTGTGAGTACCCCGTGTGTGTGTGTGAGTACCCAAAGTGTGTGTGTGTGAGTACCCCCGTGTGTGCAATTGTGTGGACTCATCACGCTCCTTCCGACAA